AATGTTAAGAGTTAGGAAAACACTATTTGTCAAAGATAGACACTGTTCTTAAAAGAATCCCCAATTATGCACCCGCAAGTTAACGTAATATTTTAAGGGCTGGCAAATGTTAATCTTGTTTGTGAAGCTGTTCACTTGAGACAGTTAAGCAAGTCCCAGCTGTGTCTGGGTACAAGTGACAGGTTGAACAACCCAACGGGTTTTCTTGCTATTGGAGTGTGTTGTAATACTGTTATGGCGGTGTCTACTCACAAGGCGAGTGGTGCTACCCAATAAACTCGCCCGCGGGGAAAAAATAAAATTTAAAATTGTATAAAGTTCTAAAAATTAATTTGGTACTTTACACACCTTCATTAATAACCCTATGTCTATGCTTTTAACACCTGGTCATCACATTTTGAGAAAATTCGTAGCAGGGATGAGGGTTCCAACCTAAGCAGTTAGTGTTCTTACGCTCACGCTCTAACGACTTGACCACATGGTACAAGGATTGCAACATGGAGTTCTTCTGAATACAAGGATTTCCAGAAGCATCTACTGAAGCCAGAAGAGGATTTTCACAGAATTCCCCCATGCACTCTGGCTGGCATCTAGGCATGGTGTGCCTCTGACGCTCCTCTTTACACAGACACAACATTGCATTTTAATACAATTAAATCTTTGTATATTGAAGGTAATTATCAAAAGAAGGCACCAAGCCGGGAAGGCTATGTAGCACCATCAAATGTGCGGAATAATCAGAGGGCGCTAAATATCACCAAGGTTGCCAATATGAGAACAGAAACGCATAAGGGAAACGAGATCAAAATTATCCGATTCACCAAGAATTCTATGGAGGGACAAGTGACCGCGGGGGACGCGGAAAGCAAGACACAGGCTCGTCCAGGAAGTCAGGACATTCAACAAGGATATGCACGACCGTAAGAGGGACAATGCAGTTTGGACAATATGGAGCAGGGCGGTGCTCCAATAAGTGCCCATGAGTTAAGCGTGTATGGACAATATACATCTTTGCCAGAGCCGTTTTCCACCGCCGGTTACGGTGGTAGGAGGAAGGCCATGGGGGACACACTACTCTTAAGAGCACACAGTTTGTTACCAGTAACAGAAGACCAACAACCCTGCCAACGCGCAAGGATGGAGGAATGAATAACAGTAAGTCAAAATAAGGAATACCTTTACGGGAGATTGAACAAGTGCGGATAGCTTCCTTAACGGCAGCGTCCGCACCTTCATTTAGGGACACTTATACGGCTGGGAACCCAGCAAAACTAATCTTTCTTAAAAAAATCTACTGAAGATAACAGCCAATGCCAAATTTCGACTCCAGAGCCATGAAGGCACTACGAGTCAACTATAACAAAGGAGGATTGAGTTGTGTATTGAAAGTATCAGAGGTAGCAAAAGTCCTAGATGACAGCCGATCAAAGGGAAAAATGCTGCAGAGATCTCGCACCCTAATCCTCTGCACAGAGCAAGTGAGCTTGTTGATGCTTGGGCCACGACTTCCAGCTTTGACAGTCTTCCTCTACTTACACAAAATGAATTAAATAATAGATATGCTCATAGAGCAAGGCTCCTTGACCTCATGCTTCATCAAGAGGATGACTGTGACATACTTTTTACTGAATACGAACTAGACTCTGCTCTATATAAAGGCAAAGCTACATCATCCGGAGAGGATGGAGATACTTACGGCATGCTGCATATGCTTCTGTTAGTTCCAGGGAATCCCTTGCTTGAATTGTATATTATGAGCTATGTAACTGGGGAGCTTCCAAAGTCATGGACCAAGTCTTTTTATTCTCATTCCTAAACCAGCAGAGTGCTTTTCGCCCAATCTCCCTCACTAGTTGTCTCTAAGAGTCTTGAGAAGATGGTTTTAAACCGTCTCCTTTACAGAATTAGTAACATGTTGTCTCCCTAGATACATGGCTTCACGCATGGAAAGAGTGTACATCGCTGTATTACCACATTCCTCACCCTGCATACTGATAGGTCATATACCACTTTCCTAGATCTTAAGTCAGCCTTTGACATTGCTAACCCACACGTCATTATGAGCGAACTTGCTAAAATGAAAGTTGGAGGATGGCTTCTACGGTGGATAAGAGGCTATCTATCCAACAGGAAGTCCTCTGTACTGTTCCAAGGGCATAGGAGTGTAACGAGAGATTTTGGACTTGACACTCCATAGAGAGGTGTCCTCAGTCCTACTTTGTTCAATGTGTAAATCAATGCACTTTTAAACTCAGTAACTAGGAGCCCCAGCGAACACATCATTAGCTATACGGATGATATACTGATCCACACCAATGGGTATACCAACACCCAAAATGTTCTGAACTCTGTATTGCACACATGTCAGGAACTAGGCTTTGTTCTAAACTTAAACTCAGTAGAGAAAACAAAGACCCTGAACCGACGCCCACCCAGACGGGGTGGGGCCGTTCGCAAAATGCAGTTGGATGATGGCTCTCTGTTCGACTATGTAACCAGATACAAATACCTTGGAACCTCAGTGGTCTTGAGGTTCCACTGTACCGCAATATTGTAGCCAGACTGGGTCGCCAATGTAGAGACTCCGTTCTCTCAAGGCTGTGGCAGGCTACCATCCAAGCTATGGTGCAAATGTGAGAATTGGCAAAATGATATATCTCTCATATATTAGGTCTCTGATTATGCTGCACGCATGCTTGCTCTAGTGCCCGAGAGAATAAGAAGCAAAACGAAGCCATGTGGATTATCCTCGGATGCCCCCGTACAACTAAATTACTAAACATGAGGAAGGAACTAAATATTTCATGTGTAAGTGATCGTATCACTGAAATTAATGCTTTAATTGGTATCAAGATGCTTAGGCTAACCCACCCTAACCCCTGCACTGAAGCCCTCCAAGTCAGCATCCTTCTAAATGGATTACCAAAACTGCCACTGCTCAGAATGTATAATTTTCATCACCTCTAACATGAGAGAATAACACTACTTTCCTGCCCCATGGGAGATCACTCCTTTCCAAATTACAGTCCCTCCTTTCCAATCCAAGGAGCTGATTAAAGAACAAGCCTTGCTTCGACAAGAAGCGAAGTACAATGCATTAATTAGTTAGAGAGCGCTCCCTTTCCCAGACTATTTACACTGATGGATCCTTGCACCAGTCCTATGGTGCAGCTGGAAGTGCAGGTAGAACAGGTTGTGACAGGGAGAGATGGTTCCTTCTCCCATGAGTGTGGAGCGCGTCTAAGTAACTGGGCCTCCACTCTTTTAAACAGAATTGGTTGCCATAATCCTTGCACTCGAGCTCGTATATGAATCCAAAGTTGACACGCTAATTGCGTGTCAACAATTATCATCCACGGGAGACATCTCCCGTCACGCAGGGTGCAGTCGCACCTCCACAGATGACTCAAAAGGGCCACCACTTACGGGCTATTCATGCCCGTGCCACCTTTTGGGTGGCTTAATCTTCATCAATCAATCACGCTAATTGCAAGTGACTCCGTGTCATCCTTTACTGCCCTCAGCTCCCAAAGGTATAACTAACGTGCTTATCTCTGAAGCTAGACAGATATAATGAAATAATCAATGATGGAGTCAGAGTCTGTCTCCTGTGGATTCCTTCTCATATTGGTCTCCGAATGCATGATAGAACTGATGAGTTGGTAAAGACTTTTGCTCGTAAAGAGGGAATTGATTACCAACTTGAACTGCCTTTGAGCAGCCTGAGGGCAGTAATATTCCAGGAACATCAACTATATTTTGGAGACTTGAGGCAAAGTGAAATTCACACCAGTTCTTCCATCTATATCATTCTATTATGCAGGAAGTACCGCACGTCTATGGGGCATCCAATAAGGTTAGCAGACTTCTAGATGTTACCACTGCTAGGCTTAGGCTCGGCTACAAGTGCCTCTGGGAGTTTGTAACATCTGCTGATGTAGATTTGACTAATGTAAACTGTCAGCAGAACTATTCGCTTACTTTGCGTCATTATATTATGGAATGTGAAGAAATCGCGGAATTTAGAGATAACACCATCAATAGTGTCCAAGAAATGTGTAAGTACTTCATTCATAATGATGTGCTGCCCGAAATCTTGGCGAAGTATCCAAAATTTGCTTACTGTAGGTAATGCATGCACATGACTGTAAAGCTGCCGCCCAGTTGGGTGGGTGTGCAGCAAGACTAGTAACTGTGACTCACCATAGATGTAAAGTACCTTGTATAGTGACTTGTGAGCCTCTTGTGGAATCATTTGCGATACAAAAGATTATTGATGTGTATTTGTGTAGGTGATTAAATAAATATATATATATATATATATATATATATATGTACATGTCTGTACGAGTATTACATGTATATAACAATAATTGTGTAACTAGCGTCAAAAGATTTATTTGCTTAGCTAAACGAAGTAGGGGGTTCAATTCCCGAACCATTTGTGTGCCTGTAACCCTTTACACCACCGCCCACGGGATGGGTATGGGGCGCACAAAAATAAAAAATTGAATTGACAGCCAGTGCATGGGGGTGGATGACTTGCGTGACAACCATGTTCCGGCTACTTTAGAAGCCTCGGGAAATTCCTGTTGAACTCTCCAGGTTGTACTATGTCGTGCTCTGATGCTAGAGCATGGGAACACCCATTGCATAGGTTCGAACCCTCATCACAGCTCCTTTGAGATTGCGTCAACGAGAAAATCCCGATGTAGTTGCTCTTAAATTTTATATTAATTTCGTGAATGCATTCTTATAATTACGAGAATCCCAATTATCACCTGGAAACTCAAAATTCATTCTAGAGATAACCTAAAATGTCTCTGATCATACCAACATGAGCTTTGCAAATAGTTTCTCACCGCTACTTGTGTTCATTCATAAGTAACTTCATAAGCATTACACATCTTTCCACTAAAAACTCCACACCTAATTAAAGGCTTTCATCCTTATGATTACCCCAGAATGGTATATTCCAAATAGGAAGAATCAAAGAATAGTAGTATTTTTTTTTTTATTAAAGGTACTTTAAGAACGGGGCCTCTCTTTCTTCTCCTTGTAGAGGGCAAGCAGAGATACGTTGGCAACCTTCACCACCTTGAATCGGATACCTAAAATAAGGGAAAAAATTAAACATCTGCATAGCAACACAATTTATTATATACTGTCGAGACTGGCAAGCATGTCATATTAAACCCAAACATAGCAAATGTTAAAAATACTGCACAACTAATATTGTTCAAGAAAACTGCATTAAACAAATGCACTAAAGTGCATTAATATCAATATTTCTTAACCATTTCCTACCCAAGGATCTTCTGTAGTAAGGTTATACAGTCCAGTACCCCCTTTACTGGACTGTATAACCTTACTACAGTTGCTGGGATTACATTGCTACTATCTAGTTATCGAGATTACTATTTCCTGCTAAGAAAAACTATCCACAGAAAACTAGATAGTTTTCTTAAAGAAGTGCTGGACTAAACAGGCTGTAGTGGATACATGGACCTGCAGGCCGCTCAAAGCAACAGCCTGTTGGACCAAGCTCTCAAGTCGAGCCTGGCCCCAGGCCCGGCTTGTGAAGTGACTCAAAAGCCCACCCTCCAAAATGATAGTGTTGTACATATGCACAAAATATGGACAGTGGCACCAAGAATAGTATTTTATACTACTGATATTCTAAAAGAAAATGCAATAACTCAACTCCTCCCAGGCTTAATACAAATCATAAATCTACACATTAGACACAAAGGTCAGATTAAGCCAATGCTTTCTTTCATGGACCGTTAAATACTTTGTCAAAACTAATTGTAAACTTTGAAACAAGTAATTATCAAAAAGAAGGCACCAAAACGGAAAGGCTGTGTAGCACCATCAAATGTGCGGGATAATCAGAGGGCGCTAAATAACTTTGAAACACAAGTCTCCCCCTTTTGGACACCACAGAAAATAAGACCCAACCAAGTGTTCCACAGTAATATTAGGTGCAAAACAACAGTGGAAGAATAGATGAAGAATCTGAGAAAGTGGGTACATGGAGAATGAAAAGGCAGCGTGTGAAGAACTGAATAATTGTGATTCAGATGTCATGACACATCTGCAGTCCAGCTTCTTGGTACTTGCAACATTCTGGCCAGTTCATGGGCCACTCGGCTATCAAATATTTTGTAATTTAACACTTTCAAACTTATTTATTGAATTATAACTTTTTTCTACCACAAACATGGCCACACATTTACAATGCTAACCAGCATATATACGTTTTCTTCAGTATGTGTTCATGTTTTTCTTCTGTCCTGCATGGACATGGTTAAGGCATCTTAACGGGCATATTGCTCAAATATCCAATAAATGAAAACTTGTTAAAAAAAATCAAATTCTTTGGCTTAGTTGTATATAAAACAGGCTTCAAATGGTCCAAGCCACAGCATCATAGTATAAATAAAAAGAATGAAAATTTTTGAATTGTCAAATTTTCCTAAATGTTCAAAAATGATCAAACACAAGTGTCAACTGAAATCATGTTTATGACTTGGCTATCACAATACATAAAATAATATACAATTAGTTTTATCAACAAAATTTAGTTAAAAAATTGCTGTTTTTCTTCAAATTTATCTTTTTATCGATCAATTTGCATAAAATTTGCAAATTGCAAAATTTGCACACCTTATTGAACATAAGGATATCTGTAAAGGTGCCAATTTTGGAGGAAATTGGTTGATGTCAACCTCAGCCACAGGTGCCAGAATCTTGGACTTCATTTTTTTTATCAAGTATCATTGACTACTCTCATTTTCTATTCAATTAACATGAAACTTACAACTTATATGTATAGTTTATGTCTGTACAATTAATCCAAGATTCTTCATGCCTAAGATCATTTATTGATTTTATAATATGTATAAACAATTTTTGTGTACATTTTTTGGAAACTTTAAACATTTTTATTAGTAAAACTAAACATTTTGGATAATCCGGTTGGGGAAGTCCTTTATTATACAGTATTGTGATAGATGTGTCGGACATGATTTCATTTGTAATTTGTGGTTGCAAAGTATTATTGAAAATGTTTGGGGGAAAAAAAACTCCCTTTCTATTTAGGCTGCAATACTGAAACTTGGAACAGTTGCAGCCTTTTTCATATACTGTACAACTAGTCAAAAATTGACAGTTAACAACTTAACACTTTCGCGCTTTCGATTAGAGATAACTCGTCACTGGTTTTTCTTACGATTCCGCATGACTGCCTACTTTTCTCGTCAATCGAAAAAATATTTCTATAAATTCCATTTTTTAACCGAAATGGATGGGGATACTTTTGTTTTGTAGAGAATTTATTTGCGAATTTTTTGGTACCAGAATGAATATTATATCACATAAACTTCTATGAGTAAAAAAAAAAATACACAAAGTATGTTTGGGGGTGTGGCGAGCGTGTGGCAGTGGGTTCCCTTTAGCCGTTGATAAATCCAACACGTGGGAAATATTTGTATGTGTTATGTATATGTCTGTGTAGGGAATTTTACTGCGATCACTGTCATACAAATTATAAAATGTTTCAACAAGTATAAACATGACAAACATCAAACGAACGAAAACAATGCGTTCGTTTCTGCCGCGAACGCATACTGAGCGACGTGGTTCTATATTTGGCGCTTCTCTTACACATGCTTTGTACAAATGTTATACAGTTCATCTTATAGAAAATTTTATTGCGAACACATTGGTATAGAAAAGTAGGGTCAGGAAACGTATAAACTTTCCAAGCATGATTTCCCCCGTGTTTTTGCCAGTGCGCTCGCGGCTAACTACTCTCCACTTCACACTCTCTTGCGGGTGGGCAATTACCTATATTAAACATTCATATGCATATGTCCGCGTAGAGAATTTTATTGCGATTCCAATGATACCAAAATTAGCGATGTAGGACAACTGTAGGCTTCGCAACCATTAAGAGAGTGGAAACATTTTGTTGCTGTTTGGCGCTCTCGGCGAGTGATCTGCATAGTTTTTTATTTGGTGTTGATACTCCTTATGCTTGGGCGGCATTTTATAGGTATGCTCTTATAGACAATTTCATTGCGAACACAGTGATACCAAATTTAAATACGTGCGCCTTCAATTATTGTCAGGACAGTCAAAAGAGTGTACACTTTTTCGGTCTTACCGCGTAGGCGCGCGAAGTGCCGAAAGCATCTGGGGTATTGTTTTTTTTTGAGCGCCGAGAGCGCGAAAGTGTTAATATCCGGCATATCCCTTTAAATATATAGTTCAGCGATTTACTGATCAACCATAAGTGATTGTAGTGCCTTGAAAATTCTACTCTAATCTATATTCATAAAAAAACAGATTTATGTCTGTCTTACAAACAGTGTTCAAGGTGTCTTTAGCGTCATTGATGTGCTTTTACAACAGAACAACGGAACATGAAAGTTAACAACAGAGCCAAGTGAAATCCCTTAACCAAGATGTGGCAGTAAACCAAGCAACTTTGCGCAAGAATTTAAACTACCCAGAGATGATAAGAGGCTTCTGTTAGAACAGGACATGACAAAGGCTGCTGGACCTGATAATCTCACCGTGGATACTAAAAGAAGGTACAGAAGCACTATACATGCCACTATGGAATATAATAAGCCACTGGAAACAGGAGACCTGCCAGAGATGGAAGACAGCTACTATATACAAAAAGGATGAAAGGCAGGAGGCACTGAACTAAAGGAACTGGTCCCTAACTAGCATACCATGCAAGGTAATGGATAAGATTGAGAAAAAAGCTAGTACAGTAGCACATTTGGAGAAGGTCGCTTAGCCGCTCCAAGCAACAGCCTGGTGGACCAAACTCTCACAAGTCAAGCCTGGCCTCAGGCTGAGCTTGGGGAGAACTCCCAGAACCCCATCAACCAGGTAAGGGACTAATACACCACTAACATGGGTTCAGGGATGAAAATTGTGCCTCAGGTTTATCAATTCTATGACCAGGAAATAAAAATGGTTAGCAAGAAGGGTGGGCAGACTGCACTTTCCAGGACTGTACGAGCCTCCGACACATGCACGAGCCTTTTATAGGGTACTAAATTGGAGTAACAGGTCAAGTGCTCCTGTGGAAAAGTGGGTAATCAGCAGAAAACAGAATTAGTGTTGTAAAGACCCCAGAATGGAGAAATGTCACCAGCAGTTCCCCACAGGTTTATGTCCTCTAACATATCCGGATTTAAGTACAAGCATCCAGAGGGTATTATACATCCAAAGTTCATATCAAAACAAAAATCAACAGCTCATGGCAGGTAAGCTGATACAAGCACTGCCTATAAAACTAATGAATCATTCAGAACCTTGTATACCACATGTCAGACTAATCCAAGAATCTGCATACCCAAGCATGGAGTCAAACAAGATGAGGTTAAGAGGAAGTTCAGAGGTATGCCACTAAACTAGTCCCAGAGCCGAGACACGAGTTATAAGGAAAGACTACATCATTGTCATTGGAAGATAAGTCGGGATAGAAATGATTATTTACAAAATACTCGAGGAATTGACAGGGTAGATAAAGAAAGTATTTAGCACAAGATGAGACTAGTGAAAACTTGGTACCCAAATGAACCACAGTCATTAAGCTATATTTTTTTTTTATTTCAGTGCCAGTAATTAACAAATGAAATTCATTAGAAAGTAATATGGCAGAGGCAGACTCCGTACAGTGTTTAATATGTACATATGATAACAGCCTAATAGACTAGAGACTACACCAGATGATTTATGTTTTGAGAGGCAGGACCAGAGCTGCAGCTTAATCCTCAAGCAAAAGCAGTGTTACCCAATTAGTATAAAAGGGTGTTACTGAAATGACTTGCTACTGAAATTGTACTGCACATTAAAAAAAAAGTTTACAGAAATGCAATTCCCCCAACATGCTAATTCCAAATTACAATTTTGCTTAAAATTTATCTTTAGTAAAACACAGTAGTATCTGTACAAAACTCTGAAACGATCATTTTCTTACCTGGAATATCACCAACAGCATGGCCCTTACGACCAAATCCAGCCACCAACACCTCGTCATTTTCCTCAATGTAGTTTAGGCAACCATCACGGGGCACAAAAGCAGAGATTTTCTTGCCATTTTTGATGAGCTGCACACGCACACATTTGCGGATAGCAGAGTTGGGCTGTTTGGCTTCAATACCACTGAAAAAGGCAAAGTTATTTTTACAATATAAAAGCCACAGGCAACTGCCATTAACTACCCTAATAAACTATTAATGTAATATACAATACTATGTTTAAACCCAAGAAGTTGAATTACAGCCAATCAAGGATGGCATACTGTACCTTTGGCAGGAATATATCAATACAACACAACACATTTTGATCACACCAAACACATGAAGAATCCTTGTGGCAAAATACTTCTCGGAGGTAAAAAGTTGCTATGACTGGGATTTGTGTGTTCGCCCATCAGTGACCACGGGGTGATTTCACATCTTTAATCGGTGGCATTAATTTAACCCTTGGGCCGCTAAAGGCCATTTTGCCTTTAGAAAGAGGTGTTGACAGAGCAGTCGCCAGGCGAGGTCTGTTCCACCCGAGCCGTGAGGCAGGGGTTGCCACAAAGATATTATTACCCAATTATTTCAATGTCTGATTTTCTGGTTTTTTTTTGCAGTAATATTATTCAATAGTGTGTATTGTGATATTTATATAACATGTGTGAACCATCGCTGTACTCAAAATTATTGTGTTCATATTAGTGATTCAATTATTATATTCATAAAACAATTAGTTTTGCTGTATCACACTACGTATACACAGGTTATATATACGTATCTGCACGTTTTGTTCACCATAATGAACCACTAAGTTGGTAGTGCGAGTCAAAAAGCAACAACGAGTGGCCTTCACTCACCAGCCAGCCACTCCCTCACGCGCCTCATTTGCCAACATACTCCTCCAATCATACTGTTTTTGCTTTTATTCACTATATACAGACGTTAAATATAAGTGTCTACATGTTTTGTTCACCATAACTGTACATCTAAGCTTGTATGGTGAGTTCAAGCAATAAGAACTAGTTGCACACACAGTCAGCTCGTGGCTGCTGCCGTCACTGGTTCAAGGCCCCACACACTAATATTTCTCCAACAATACTGTTTGTGTTGTTATTACGCTATACACACATTATATATAAGTATCTACCGGTTTTATTCACCATACCTGTACAAATAAGCTGGTATGGTGCCCAAAGACCATAGTGGCCACCAGTAAACAACATGACAAGTTGTGCAGACGAAACACCTCCCTCACCAAAATGGCAGCTCCCAACATACTCCTATTGTTATTACAATATACACACATATATAAGTATCTACATTTGTATTCACCACAGCGAACCACTAAGCTGGTATAGTAAGTCCAGTCAATAAAAGATGACCACACAAGTCAGAAGACGACGCCACAACCCTCCCTCCCTTAGCACTACTCATCCCACCATGGAGCACAGCGCTAAATATCACCACAATCCTCCTATTATCAGAATCCTGGTCAGTTTTATCACAGTCAAGGGTCTCCTGTAATACCATCATTGCTAAATAATAGAATTTACATATATATTTTGACATTTTTAAGCGATGCTGTGAGCTCATGCTGCGTGCGTCAGCCTTGGTGGCTCGTTCAGTACCGAGGCTCTCGCACCCAGGAATGTTGGCCACGATTTTTTTCTAGATGGCGTCTGACAACTATCTGTCGTGGCTGCACTATAGCTGCCCCTATCCCACACGTGGCATTTAAGGGGGCCTCAGATTCCAATTTGCCCTAAAAATGCAACAAATGAAAACTCGTTTGATTTCAATCAAACTTTTTTGACAAGTTCTATATGAAAAGTGTTTCATCTGGTCTAAGTTTCAGCATCGTAGCATAAATAGGAAGGGAGAAAAAAAATATTGAAGTAGTTGTGAAAATTATGCCAAAATGGTCAAAATCGATTATCAATCAAAAGTGTCAACTGAAATCATAGCTATGACTCTTTGCTATTACAATAGCATATATTAAACAATTATAATTAGTTTAATTGAAAAAAAATTAAAAAAAAAAAAAAAAAAAATTTTATTTTTTTTTTCGGGCGATTTGCATCAAACTTACACACCTGACTGTACGTAGGCCTATCTGTAAGGACGCCAATTTTGGAGAAAATTGGTTTATGTCAACCTCAGCCACAGATTTTAGAACCTTAGACTTCATTCATTTCCGTTTTTTTTTTAATTGACAGAAACGTTTACAAAACTGATTCAATTTTTTTTCAATTTACATGAAACTTACACAGTATATGTGGAGGGCATGTCTTTACATTGGAGTTTTCATTTTTCTCTAAGTTCATTTATTGATTTTATAATGGCAATAAACATGCCATATTTGCAAAAAAAAAATTTGGGAACTTTGAACATTTGTATTAGGAAAACTAAAGATGTTTTGGAAATTCTATATCTCAAGTTCCTTTATTATATGCTAATGTGTCAGTGTCACAGAATAATTATATCTGAAACGTGTGTTCTGAAGTGTGGACTTTAAAATGTGTAAAAAAACGTTGAAAAACAAAAAAAAATATCTCCCTTTCTATTTATGCTGCAGTACTGAAACTTGGGACAATTAAAGCACTTTTCATATACAACTAGTCAAATAATATTGGTTGACATTGAACAACTTTGACTGACAACCTGACGCCCCCTTAAATTAATTAAAGCACTAGACACTATTAACAGTTATTAATGTATTGCGCGTTATTGGTAATTTTCTCAAATCATCTATATAGGTATTGCGCGGTTTAAGGGTTAATGCCACCGATTTCACCATGCGGCACAGCCACACTAATTTTTTTTACCATGAACGATGAGGCAATCTTTTTTTTATGTGCACTCGAGCACAAAATAAATTTAAAACTTTTTCCTTTCTAACTGTTAAAATGCATTCCTGGATTACAGGAAAAAAAATTGTATACTTTGAACATAACATAAGAACAAAGGTAACTGCAGAAGGCCTATTGGCCCATACGAGGCAGCTCCTATCTATAACCACCCAATCCCACTCATATACTTATCCAACCCGCGCTTGAAACAATCGAGGGACCCCACCTCCACCACGTTACGCGGCAATTGGTTCCACAAATCAACAACCCTGTTACTGAACCAGTATTTACCCAAGTCTTTCCTAAATCTAAACTTATCCAATTTATACCCATTGTTTCGTGTTGTCTTGTGTTGATATTTTTAATACCCTATTAATATCCCCCCTGTTATGTCCATTCATCCACTTGTAAACCTCTATCATGTCACCCCTAACTCTTCTTTGGTCATAGTAAAGCCTGAAAGTCGCACAATGGTGTCAATTCATGTGTGCTAATTGAGTAATTGCCCCGGGGTAGCCCCCCTGAGTCAGCAATCAGGCGGGAGTTAGTGAATACAGTATATTTTTTCCATGTATTTCAATCCAATTGGCCTTGTCTAGTGTTTTACAGTAATGTTATTCACTAGCGAGTCTAGAGGAATTTATACAATATATTGTGGAAAACACCAGAATGTTCAAAATTATTCATATCACCAAGTCTCGCTTATTTGTTTAGAAGAGAACATTTCAGGTGTTCTAATACACACCTCATAACCATGTATATTTTCATGCACCATTATGATCCACTAATCCATTGTGATGGGTTTGGTAAGCTCATAACATGTGGTCAAGAGTTCAGCCTGGCTCAGCATGTTTTGCATCAACTTCTAACTGCAAGCATTCAATATATATATTACATTCTTCTAATTTGAGGGATCAACTTTTGTCATCCTTTGCTGAACACGTTCTGGTGAAGTTTATGTCCATTTAGTATGGCAACCAAAACTGAGCTCCCCTAACAAGACCAAGACATAGCTGAAGAATAACACCAAGAGTTTTATTGCTAATGCTTCTAGAATTTAACCTAGTATCCTATTTTCTTTATTTTAAAACATTACATAGATTTGTTATCTGGTTTTAAATTCCTATTAATCATGAGCCCCCAGATCTTTCTTGCAATCAGACGTCAATTTCCATCCAGCATTATCTTAACCATCATCATAACCTTATATTTATCAGCATTAAACTGTATCTGCTAATCATTCAACAATTTCAAAATCCTAACTAGAACATCTTTAAAGTTATCGACAAATTCATTTCCTGCCCAATTTTCCATTTTCTACAAATTTGCAACTATTGCTGCTCAATACTGAATCTAAGTTATAAGTTTCCCAATGACTTAACCCCATGTATACCAATTTGTTTCCTTTGACAACCAAAAGTTATTAGTTAGTAATTGCAGAGAATAAAGTTTCACTGTAATGTAATAAAACAGTAAATAAAAAGATGTAATAAACTTACATCTTTTCCAAAACGATCCCTTTGGCATGGGAAGCTCCTCCGAATGGATTAGCCTTCCATCTTGTACCCAAATGTGCCTTCTTGTAGTCCTTGTCATGCCACCTTTGTTCACGACGGTGGTTTACATGCTTGCGGGCAGTGCGGAGTCCACGTGGCTTTCCTGGTTAAATAAAACATGAAATCAATTATTATATATTAAAAGTCTTCATCGCAATAGCACAATTATGTCTGCAGAATAAATATTCAAGAGTATTGAGGATATAAAACAAACTATTTATCACAGCCAATACAGAGGGGAAGTTGTATCCTAGAGTCTTGTGCTACACTTGTCTAAATACAAATCTACCTTACTGCCTGCAACATTATTCTTTTGTATAGCTTGGAATCTGCATATGACATGGGAGAAAGGAGACCCACAGCAACATATTAACACTAACATTCCGGCCCATTAGTGTGTTCACTACTATAAATGCCCCAGGAGACTCTGGGTTCTCTTCACCGATGCCTAAAATGTCTACTTTTGTGTGTTGTAACTGTCAAAATGCTCACAAATGAATCTGCTAAAGTATAGAAGTTATACAAAACGTGTTTTAACACATTTTGTATGGCAGTGATGAATATATGAACATTTCAACTTGCTTATCTATTTTTTCATCAAATATAGAAATGTGTGAACATTCTGCTCTATATCATAGCAAAACAATTTCCCTATTTCAGGCATGTAATTTGGAGAAAAAAAAGCAAGTGCAGTAAATACATATATAGGACCACCATCTAACACACATGCAATTAATACCAATGGACCAAATACCAATTCCAGAGCATGCCATAGAATACATAAGAGGCATGTCAAGACGATGTGAAAAATTAAGCATGGAGGTTAGGAAGAAATACGTAAAGCTGTTGGACCTAGTGGAGTCCAACAGGCAGCACCTTGGGTGCTGCATGAATGCGCAACTGAGCCAAGCATTCCACTCCAATTAATATTCCAGACATCCTCGTGTACAGGAATCTTAGAAGACATGGAAAAAGGCAAAAAGTATCAATCTATAAAAATGGTAGACGAGAGGAACCTCTAAATTATAGACCAGTATCATTAACAAGCGCGGTAGTCAAAACAATAGAACAAATAGCTCAAGCCAAATGGGTTGAACACCTAGAGTAATGACATAATAACCGATATACATTATGGTTTTGGAAAAGGATGATCCTGTAATTAATCTTAGTTTTTATAATAGTTACAGATTACACAGGAAAGGTGTTTAGGTTCACCGTCTATCTGCACCTAAAATAGAGACTTGATAAGCGTCCCACCCAAGAGGCTGTTCTGGAAACAAACATGCTGGAGGGGTGACAGGGAGACTCCTGATATAGATAAAAAAAATTCCAACTGACAGACGAGAGCAATAATCGGCGACAACGTATCTGACTGGAGGAGTGTTACTAGCAGAGTACCACAGGGTTCGGTTCTTGTACCAGTAATGTTCGTCTACATAAACAATCTACCAGAAGGAATGCAGAATTACAAGAACCTGCCAGGATACTAGATGCAGACGATTGTAATGCCCTTCAAATTGATCTAGATCAAATAGGGGCTTGGAGTGTGTAGTGGCAAATGGAATTCAATGTGAATAAATGCCATATTATGGAATGTGGAATTGGAGAAGAGACCACACACAACTTACAGATTGAGGAAAGGAATTACAGAACTCTAATGAACAAGACCTAGGGGTGGGTTTGAATAGTAAGTCGTCGCCAGAGGAACACGTAAAGAACATTGTGAGAGAAGCATATGGGTCGCTTTCCAACTTCAGACTTTTTTTTTAATTATATGAATGGTAAAATACTAAAGAAACTGTTCATGACTTGAGACCAAAATTGGAATATGCAACAGTTTAATGATGCCCAAATCTCAAGAACATAAATAAAATTGAACAAACTGGAACTTAAAAACAAGAGGCATTTTGGAACATGCAAAAACCAGAAGATACCGGTCCGTCTAATTACCAAAAACTACCACATACTACACATGCTTCAGAAAACTTTCTGGCAATACGTTAGTAATGAATAAATATGATATATTTACTCATTACAATGTTGGTGCTGAATATACAACATGAAAAAACATAATTTTAATCCGAAAAAGTATCTTTTTATAAAAAAATTAGACGAAAATAAAAAGCTGGTGACGCCAAATCAAGTCGACGATCCAAGCTTCAGTTAGGTTAGGTTAGGATAGGTTAGGTCAGCCTAACTTAATATATCATATTTATTCATTACTAACGTATTGCCAGGAAGTTTTCTGAAGCGTGTGTAGTATGTGGTAGTTTTTGGTAATTAGACGGACCCGAAGATACAAAAAAAAATAAGATCACTTACAAAATACTAATAGGAAATCAACCAAATTTATGAAATCCTGAAACCAGCGACTTCACAAACAAGTAGACCAGATTCAAGCTAAGAAACAAAGACAAAAAAAGAAGTATCATTTGCCAAAAAAAAAAAAAATACAAGTTTTGTTTGGGGGAAAAAATAATCTTTTGCAAACAGTGTTAGATGATTGGAACAAGCTAAGTTAGAAGGCAGTAGAGGTCAAAACAGTAGTTACAAAGCGTTGTACGACAAAGTGCTGGCAATATGGAACACCACAAGCATACCTCTCATAACATCTTAAGAATAAAGGTAACTGCAAAAGGCCTATTGGCCCATACGAGGCAGCTCCTATCTATAACCACTCAATCCCACTCATATACATGTAACTACTCGTGTAACTCATCCTGTAATTACTTTCTTTAGCTCTCATCCTGTAACTATTTTCTTTAAAGTTTCCTATTGTGGGCAGTAACAGACCGTAACCATATAAAATTAAAGTTTTATCAATTAAGCTCTTAGGTTTAAACTCAAAACAAAGGAATTACCATATAATTATTTAAAGTACCAAGCTTGGAAATTGTTTAACAAGGTACAGTACTTAAAAGGAATACAAAAAACTACAATTAGGCTACAGTGTTCAATTTTCATAAATATTTCTATAAACTGAAGTTTAAAGTATTGTACGAGATGCCAGTTCTGGTCTAAACTGAGCACCCCCTGACCGCTTGTCCAGCAACACACATTACCAAGATTTTAAGGTGAAAAACATGACAATGGTTATGAATTCTTCATGTAAACCATGAATAATAATTGATTTATATGGCTAACTTGCTAATAGTTGTGACATTACTGAGGTCATAAATCGAATTGGCTTTCACCCTGACTGAGTACAGCACTTTTGAAATACAGGAATTTATTTTTTCTTCCAGCACCACGTGGCCCCGCACCGTCAGGCGCCAGCACCATGTGACTATAAAAAAAAATGCAGCATCTCATTGTCCAGTGCTGTTCATCTATTTACCCAAAGCCTACAGCATTTGTAAGTAATGAAGAAATATGATATATTTGCTCACTAAGTTGGTGCTAAATGCAAGCATGAAAATACATTTTTACTCTGAAACAATAGCCTTTAATAACGAAATTAGACGAAACCCGGTAATGTTGATTTGGACTTAATTTGCATTTATCTGCCCCCTGGAGAAAGTGGACTTTGGCTGCAATTTTTACACACTTCTGGGCATTAACAGAAAACAATGCTATAACCCAGGAAAAACTTCAGATTGTTAAAATATGATGCCATAAACTTTTAGCGAGAGCTTGCAGGCGACGCCACGGGACATCTATAATGGAAGCGACGATGTTGTGCTACTTATCCAAGATATATTGTTGCCTGGAGTTGAGGTTAGGTACAGTAGAGGAGGCCAATATGCTAGCACTCTCACTCCAGGCATCTTGGATACATCGTGGATAAGTAGCACAACATTGTCCACTTGGATCATCCACTTCCCATGGTGTCACCTACTTTTATCAACTCATATGACATTTCAGAATAAAAATTAGTTTTTTTCCATGTTCTACATTCAACACTAACAGTAAATACATCACATTTCCTCATTACTTACGTTATGCTTGGAGGCTTTAGGTAATTACACGGAGTATGGACAACATGGACCTGAAATAAATTACAACATATGTGCTTGTATCCAAATAATAAAGCAGCCTCATTAGTTGTATTAAAGTCTCACTAGTTGTATTAAAGCGAGAGAGAAGACTTGGCCCCACATGTGCGGCCTGGGGTAGGGAAGGCCGCCACCCTCGTGTTCACCTCCCCGCCATAACACCAACATATTTACCTCAAACACACACTTTAAAGGCACCAAGACTCTGACGCCCCGCTGCCTAACACACTAGTCTGCTCTACGACACAAATACTGGAGCAGGAGAGTAATAGAACATGAGATATTAGGTGTAAAGTGAGAGGCGAGGGACGTACCCATGGTGGCGGCGCCGTGTTGTCCCGGACAGAGGCAGCGTCCGCCGCCGCACCCTCCGCTTCACCTCTATCCACCTCTACTATATTCTATATTACCCAACTATTATCATAGATTTAAAACGATAAAATATATTTAAATAGAATGATGTATGTAGGATATTGTTTTGAAGGAATAATTTGTGTTTGTTATGGTGTTGTGATGTGTGGTAGTATTCAGTGTTGCCAAAGTCAGCTAAAAGTAGCAGATTGGGCTAATTTGGAGCGCCTGGCGCTCCTGAATTTATAATTTCACTACTTGCTACTTTTTCTGCCCACTGGATGGGGGGCGGTGTGCAGGACAAACATATCAATTTTGACACTAGCTCTCTACATATGTCAGTTGCTTAATTTAGAACCTGTACTTGAGGTCGATCTCGAACCCATTAAATAAATATAAATAAATAAATATATTTATTCAGGTAAGGTACATACATACAAGTGATGTTACATTAATGGATTGATATATAGATAGAGCTAGTACATACAATGCCTAAAGCCATTATTACGCAATGCGTTTCGGGCAAGAAAAACATTAATATCTAGAACTTAATACTAATTGAGCATAAAGAATAAAGTGTTGAGAACAAATACAAATAAAGATAAAAAAAAGGGGGAACATGACTGAAAAAGCAGCACAAATACAATAGGATGACAAACAGTGTTGATTAAAAAAAAAAATAACAGACATGGGTTGACAATAGAGGAGTGAGGTAGGTTACAGGGAATTTATTAGGTAGTGTTTAGTTTTTATCTTAAACTGGTTGAGAGAGGTACAGTCTTTAACATGGTTGGGAAGGTCATTCCACATTCTGGGTCCCTTGATTTGTAGAGCATTTCTAGTTTGATTAAGTCGTACTCTAGGAATATCAAAACTGTATTTATTTCTGGTGTGGTGCTCATGGGTTCTGTTACAACCTTCAATGAAGCTTTTGAGGTTAGGATTGGAATTACAGTTCAGCGTTTTATATATGTATAATACACATTGTTGATGTGACGACTTTTTAGTTAGTTTAGTTCATTTATTATGCACCCTATACCCATCTTGTGGGCGGTAGTGGAAAGGGTTACAGAGGCACATAATGGGCTCGGGGACTGAACCCCACAATTCATTTAGCTAAGCAAGTTACAATCTTGATGAGCTAGTTACAAAATTCAATATAAGTCGTCACATCAACAATGGGCTCGAGATCAACCTCAAGTACAGGTTCTAAATTAAGCAACTGACATATGTGGAGAGCTAGTGTCAAAATTTATATGTTTGTCCTGCACACCGCCCCCCATCCAGTGGGCAGCGGTGGATAGGTTACAATCACTTAGTTACTACCTACAGTTAGCAAACTGGGGATATTTGGCTAAAATTTCTGGTAGCAGATTATTTTGAATGAAATATTGACACATCGCTGGAACATTGGTTCTAGAATTGTCTCTAAATTCACGTATCTTTTCGCACTCCATCACATAGTGACGGAGGGTGTGCGAATAATTTTGTTGACACAGTTTACATTTGGTCAGGTCTACATCAGCAGATAATGAGAATTCCCAGAGATACTTGTAACTGAGTCTAAGCCGAGCAGTAGTAACATCTAGAAGTCTGCTGATTTTATTGGATGATCCATAGATGTGTGGCTCCTCTTGCATGATAGAATGATGATAGGTGAAATTACTGGTGTCAATTTCACTTTGCCTCAGATCTACAAGATCTTGTTGAAGTTCTCGGTGTACTGCTGCTCTCAGATTGCTCATTGACAATCCAAGGTTACACTCAACGGCTCCTTTAAAGGCAGATTCTTTGGCTAACTTATCAGCTCTATCATGCATTCGGAGGCCAACATGAGATGGAGACCACATGAAATGGACTCTGTTACCATCCTTAATAATTTTGTTGTATTTGTGTCTAGCTTCGGACACGAGCATGTTACAGTTATGTCTTAAAGAGTTGAGAGCATTTAAGGATGATAAGGAGTCACTTACAATTAATGTATCAAGTTTGGAGACTTGTACACATTTCAGTGCAAGGATCAAGGCAAATAGTTCGGTCTGAAGGGTAGAGGCCCAATTGTTTAGTGTGACGTCTTATATTGAATTTTGTAACTAGCTCATCAAGATTGTAACTTGCTTAGCTAAATGAATTGTGGGGTTCAGTCCCTGAGCCCATTATGTGCCTCTGTAACCCTTTCCACTACCGCCCACAAGATGGGTATGGGGTGCATAATAAATGAACTAAACTTAAACTAACTAACTAAACTGCTACTTTTTCGCCTGATTTAAAAATTAGGTTAAGCAAATTTGTGCTGTTAATATTAAGAATAGAAGATTGATTATTTATGCATTTATAATTTAATATGTGTAACTCACAGCTTGAAAGTAGAAAGCTGACCCTGGTTCCACATATCAAATCAAATCAAAATGTTTATTCAGGTAAAAGTATATACATACAAGATGAGTTACAAACATAATGTTGGATTTATATATAGAGCTAGCACATACAATGCCTAAAGCCACTAATACGCACAGCGTTTCGGGCAAGTCCTTAATCCTATGGTCCCTGGAATACGATCCCCTGCCGCGAAGAATCGTTAAACTTAGACTAAAGCTTAATACTAATTGAGATTAAAGTATAAATTGTGCAGAAAAAAGAAAAGAGGGGAGGGGGAACATGGCAGAAATCAGCAGTTATACAACTTGGTCAACAAACAGTATTGTTTGAAAATAGCAAGACATGGGTTGACAATTTGAGGGTAAGGTAGGTTGCATGGAGTTAATTAGGTAGTAATTAGTTTTACACTTAAACTGGTTGAGAGAGGTACAGCCTTTGACATGATTGGGGAGACCATTCCACATTCTGGGTCCCTTGACTTGTTGAACATTTCTAGTTTGGTTAAGTCGTACTCTTGGAATATCAAATAGGTATTTGTTTCTGGTGTGGTGCTCATGGGTTCTGTTATAACCTTCTAGGAAGCGTCTGAAGTCAGGATTGGAATTACAGTTCAGAGTTTTAAATATATAGAGTACACATGAGAGGATGTGCAGTGACTTAATATCACACTTATTGAAAGATTTAAGTAAAGGTACCAAGTGCTGTCTGGGGCCAGAGTTGGATATTGTTCTAATAGCAGCTTTGTGTTGAGTAATTAGAGGACGTAAATGATTTTGGGTAGTAGAACCCCAAGCACAAATACCATAGTTGAGATAAGGATAGATGAGAGAGTAATAGAGCGTCACCAGGACAGGACGAGGTACATAATATCTGATCTTAGAAAGAATGCCAACAGTTTTATCAACTTTTTTTGGTACATTTAGAATGTGTCCCTGGAAATTCAGCTTGTTATCGATGAGGACACCGAGGAATTTACCATCTACTTTGTTACTAATTTGGATATTGTTTATTTTTAGATTAATTTGATCTGAGGATTTATTACCAAACAAAATATCTTTATTTTGGAAAGTTATCTAGAGATTTACAAACTAACAAACTAAAATGATCGTGAAGGATTTCTTATAGCTAAGATGGTTGGCAAGGAGAAATTAGAAGTGTAAAGCGGCTTTTACATCAGTGGAATTCTTTAGCAGCTCATTACAAAACAGTTTCTTCACCTTTTGATTTAGATTTACCTGAATTTACCCGAAGGCCACTACTACTAGTGGCCTGGATGAGAGCAGGAAGCCGGCGGCTTGTCAATGCTACCCCCAGTATTTACAGTCTTGGGAAGGTCTGATCGTTGATGTGTCTGATCACTTTTTCTGGTTGAGGAGTGATTCTTCTGGTTCTGTGTGGCGGTTCATGGCTCTCGTAGTCGCTGGCTGTGTTTATTGCTTCGTGGAGGGAGCTTCGTGGAACTCCACGTGGAACCCGTGGAGTTCTTCGGGTTCTGGGACATAAAGGTGCTTCATGCGGTACAGCTGCCTTCTGGCCAAGTAGCTGAGCCTGATATTCATTGGCATCATTTTGAGAGCCCCGTGGGTCTGGTCTGTTCTTACCTTGTCTGCAGGCGACAGGCTCGCCGCAAAGCGGATTGCTTTGTTTTAGACCCGTTGGATCTTCAGTATGTTGGTTTTGTTGGTGAGATTCAGGGGGATGTAAGGGTACTCAAGGCTATGCTCATTCTGTACAGGTGCAGCTTGACGTGTGAAGGGACTTGTCTGAAGCGGAAGAGCCTCGACAGGGACCTCTTGACCATTGCTGTCTTCTCAGAGACGTACTGGGTGGAGTAAAGTAGCCTGTAGAAGTTGTATCCACAACTTACAAGCACTGTGTTGTGTTGGAGATGGCTATGGGTTTCCCCCTGATCCGTACTCCCCCTCCCTCATCTTCGACTGTGTAGGCCATACAGCCGACAGTGCTTATCTGGATTTTGTTTGGGTTAGTGATGATCTTCCATTTTCTTTCCCAGTTCGCAGTCCAGGCGAGTGCTACGTTCGCCTAATAAAGCATCTCCTGTTTTCTGTCTTACGTTGTTCAAATATGTTGCAAGGGAATTATTTTCAATTAGCTTTACTTCACGTTCCTCAAGTGAATCCTAAATGATTTTGAAAGAATTAGTTTACTATGTCAAAAAGATGAAGCAGATCAGTGTAGCCTCCACACTGCCTTAGAAAACTTCACTCTTGGAATGTTCAGAAGAACTGTGCATTCTGATCATGCAAAGCGTCATGTTAATTTGAACTTCATTTCCATTTATCTGCCCCTGGAGAAAGTGGACTTTGGCTGCGATTTGTATACACTTCTGGGACAACTTATATTGAATTTTGTAACTAGCTCATCAAGATTGTAACTTGCTTAGCTAAAAGAATTGTGGGGTTCAGTCCCTGAGCCCATTATGTGCCTCTGTAACCCTTTCCACTACCGCCCACAAGATGGGTATGAGGTGAATAATAAATAAACTAAACTAAAACTTCTGGGCATTAACAGACAAAACAATGCTATAACCCAGGAAAAGCTTCAGATTGCTAAAAAATGATGCCATAAACTTTTAGCGAGAGCTTGCATTGCTTTTTTCTCGCATTCCCAGTAATGCTGAAACTTTTAACAGGGTGAAGAACCAGTCACATGATATATGCCTTAG